GCCCGCCCGGCCGCGAGTCCCTAGGCCCAGAGAGACCTGGCTGGGGGTGGGCGGGAGGAGCCCCCGGCCTCTTTCTGCCTTCTGAGCAGAGGTGCCTGCCCTGCCCCCTCGCCACCCAGCCTCGGGCTGGCTCCAGCCTCCTTGTCCCTGCCTCTCCCCTTGGCGTCCACCCTGCTTCTGCGGTGGGTTGCAGCCTTGCGTGCGTTCAAACGCCAGGCAGGTGGTCAGGTGGGGGCCAAGCCTCAGCCAGTGTGAGCACTGAGCCGTTGGTGCCGTGCGGAAGGGCAGGCGTGCTGTTCCCCAATGCTCAGTAAGAGCCAGCTCTGATTTAAGTATGACAGCAAAGCAGGACAATGCGCAAGTCCAGCACAGTCTGGGGGCCTGGCCTGGGAACATCTTGTCCTGCCCTGTGGCCGCCCTTGGGAGTGTGTCCTGTGGGAGGTGCAGTGGGCCTTGTCGCTGGGTGATAGGGCTCTTTGTGCTTCTCCATGGCAGCGCCTGCCTCCAGGGTTTTCCAGTGGGGGCTCAGCAAAGAGCCCTGCGGGCCTGTGGGGGCTGGGCCCTCCTCTGGGGTCCCCCCACCGCGGCACACTCGGGGAAGGGCTGTGGTCTGCAGCCTGCATCCCGGGAAGTTACTAGGGCTGAAGCTGATGGGCAAGGGGGCCAGGGAGTCCCTCCAGCCAACCCTCCCCAGCCCTGGCTGGCTGTCCAGCCAACCATTGGTCGGTGGGAGAAGGGCCTTTTGTTTACTGAGACAAAGAGGAGATTGAAAAGTTTCTAAGGGGCTGAAAGGGGGTTGGCATTGATGACCATGGTGACAGCCTGCTCTAGCATGCAGCCCCCGACTTTCGGGGCCTCTCTCGCACTAAGTAAAATTGGGCTTGGGGCCAGCTGGGAGAGTGGAGAGGACAAGCCTCCCAGGGTCCAGGCTGGGTTGCTGGGGGAGGGGCCTCCCGGCTTCTTGCCCTTTCACCCTGTGCTAGTCAGGATGGTGGTTCTCGGGGTTTGGGTCAGCCGGCCCCTTCCTGACTCCTTGCTCTGTCCTCTGTCCTTGCTTGTCACTCCTGAGCTGGGGACCTGCCTCTCTCCTCTGCCATCCCTCCTAAGGCTGCGTGCTGGGGGCTGCAGAACACCCTCTCTGGAGGGGCCAGTGGTGGTCTCTCCTTGCAGTTGCTGGGTAGCCCCAGGTCCCCTGAGCTGGTGGACGGGCAGGTGTGCTCAAACCCCCGACAGCCACACTCCTTGGTTTGGTGGCCGTGCGTCTCTTCCTGCTTACACGGCTGTATTCTCTCTGCAAACAGCTTAGAAGTGGATTTGACAGTAGGAGTGTGGGTATAACACTAGTGGTGTCTGCTGTGACTGCTCCCAAAGCATCTCCGTCCCTCTGCTTGCCTGGCTAGGTGCTGGCCCGTGCCCTAGCCTGCTGTGCCGCCACAGCTGGTCTGCTCCTGGCTTCTCTGCCCAGGGTTAAGCAGAGCCAGGACAAGTCTGGCGGAGGAGGGCTGGAGCCGTCCTCAGGGCTCCCTGGGTGGTGCGCCTTGTGCAGTGATAGGGTGGATGCTGCACAGAGGTGGGAGGCCCTTCGCCATACGTCCCCGGGGTGCTCCCTGGAACGCTTCCCCAGCCAGGGCCAGGGCCAGGAGAAAGTGTGGGGGGCCTGGGCGCCAGGCAGTCATTGAGCAGTGCGGAACGTCGGTCCTGACCTGTCCTATGTTGGAGGACAGCCAGGGCCACGCTCTTGCACAGCATGGCACAAGGCTCTGCGGTCAGGCTGGCCTCAAGGGCTGGCCCTCCTACTATTTGCCGCCTGTTTTGGTGACTCCTGAGGCCATTGTTGCTTGGGCCCTACAGCTGCTCCAGGTTGGCCCAGGGCCCCCACGGTACCTGCCTGCCTCAGTGTGTGTCCTAACCGTGGGTCGTGGGGACCACAGGACAGACATGTCACAAGGGCAGGCCTGCATGTAGGCCAGGCCGGAGAGCCTGTGCGAGGACCTGTCTGTCCCTGGGAAAGGCTGGAGGCCAGGTGCAGTTATAGTGGGAGGGAGACAGGTGGGCTGGGCTTCTGGGGCCCATGGGGTGGCCTCTGGCTGCTGCCTAACCATTTCCCCGCTCCGTACCACCAGGGGACAGACTCCATCAAGATGGAGAATGGGCAGAGCACAGCCGCAAAGCTGGGGCTGCCTCCCCTGACGCCTGAGCAGCAGGAGGCCCTCCAGAAGGTGAGACTGTACCTCCCAAGGCCTGGGGGGGTGGGGTGGGCCAGAGGGCAGGAGGCCGCCGTTGGCCCAGGCCAGGCCCCCAGTGCTCCTCACCACCGTCTCTCGCAGGCCAAGAAGTACGCCATGGAGCAGAGCATCAAGAGTGTGCTGGTGAAGCAGACCATCGCCCACCAGCAGCAGCAGCTCACCAACCTGCAGGTGAGCGTCCGCCCGCCATCTCCCTCCCCGCCTCCTCTTCCTTCTCTTCCTCCTCTGTGTCTGCCTGCGGCGTCCCCACCAGGTGTTGTGGTTCTCGGTTTCTCAAGGACTCCTTCTTGGGACGCCCAGGTTCCTCCCCGAGCCACGAGTGGCCCGGTCTTACCTGCCTGTTGAGCGCCCACGGCCCCTCCCCGCCCCTTCTCTGTAGCCCTGCCGCTCCCCGAGCGGCTCCTCTTCTCGGACTTCAGACTTGCCTCAGGTTGCCCTGCGCCCGCGCCCCTCGGCTGGCTGCACGGCTGATGGTGCGGCATGTAGCCCCTTCCTCCCCGCCCCCGTGGCCTCGGATAAGAGCGGTCAGGCTCCCCACCCCTGCAGGGAGCCCAGACCACCTGGGCTGGGGCCCAGGACTGAGGACAGGCCGGGGGTGCCTCCATGGGGCCAGAGGCTGCAATGGCTGTGGGGGAGAGCAGGGCAAGGCCCACAGGTGCCTGGGCCTTGAGCCCCGCCCCCGCCCAGCCCTCAGACATTCACGCTGCCAGGCGAGGCCCTGGCTGTTCCCATGCTCCATCCGTGCCCGTCCTCCCCCTGCTCCCCTCTCCCTTCCTCTGCCCCACTGGCCAGGCTGCGGGCAGGGCACCTGGGGCTCTGAGGCCCCCCTGGGCAGGTGCTGGCAGCCATCGGCCGGCAGTGTGGGAAGGCAGGCGGGCCTCCCAGGCAGGGCGGGGACTCCGGGCCTGCCGCTGTCTGCGTGAGGTGTGACAACAGCGGGAGACTGCTCGGCTCCAACAGACTGAACTCTGTCTTTACTGTCTTTCAGATGGCAGCAGTGACAATGGGCTTTGGAGATCCTCTCTCACCTTTGCAATCGGTCAATAGACATGCTCACTTCTTCCGGGGCTCATGTCCTTAGTCAGGGCTAGAGGGGGGCAGTGCGCCCGCGTGCTGGGGACCTTGCTCCCCTAGCCGGCCCTGCCCGCCAGCTCGGACGAGCGCAGCAGAGCGCCAGGCGTGGCGGGGCCAGTGGTGTGGGCGGGCACCCACCCGGGACCGCCCTGGGGAGGCCTCCATCTGCTCTGAGGGCCCGCCTTAAAACTAACCGGCCAGGTAACTGCGGAGGGCAGCCGGCCAGGAGGGTAGCTGCCCATGCCAGGCCCACCTGTACCCATGCCGCCCGCACACACGCATGGTGCGCACCGCCCAGGCCTCCAGCTCCGTCAGTCTCCAGGCTGCCTGGGCGTCTGGGTTGGGGTCAGGCCCTGAGGAGAGAAGAGTCCTAACTCATGGCTCCATCAGACCCTGGAGGGAGGATGGATGGATGGGGTGGAGGGGTGGGGGGACCCGAGTGAAAGAGACAGGGATGGGCAAGGCCTTGGGCCTGGCTGTCAGCAAGGGCTAAAGGCCACACAGCCAGGGAGTATGCCAGGGAAGAGGTGAGCTGGTGGCCGTGGCCACCATGGGCAGAGGAGTGTGGGAAAGAGACCCCTCCATCCCCCAGAGGCACCTGAAGAGGCCAGGGACTCCTCGGGGAAGTCTGAGGGGGAACGTGGCCCTTTCTTAGGGGGCCACCCCTGGGCGTGCTGTTCTTATGGGAGATATGGCCCTGTCCTCAGGGCCAGACAGGCCCAGTGTCCTCTGGGGGGCATCTGTCTGTGGGGAGACATCAGGGAGAGGGCTCTTGGCCTACTTGCTGTTGGGGAGCCCCCCTCAAGAGACATGCTCCTATTTTGGGGAACTTTGATTTGAGGGGTAGATGGTTTTATGTCTGGGGTGCCTAGTGCAAGGGGGGACATGGTTCCATCTGTGGGGTCCTTGGTCTCCACAGGGAGCCTGAGGCCTATTAGTCGGGAGTCCAGTTTGAGGAAGGGAGTCCCATTTGGGGGGAAGTCCTACTTAGGGGGAGCTGTGGACTTTTTTTTAGGCCCCTCTTTGAGGGAGGGGGAGGCCCAGCCTATACCAGGCTAGTTGATGTCTTAAAGCAGGAAAGTGGCCTCTGGTCACGGGTACCTTTGTGACGGTGAGGGGAGCCCCTATTGGTGGAGAGTCTAGAGCCAGGCCCCATCATCTTGGTCTGCCCTAGGCCTGTGCTCTCTGCCCGGTGGCCCACCGCATGTGGCTCTGGGAACCCCCCTGCCTGGCACATTATGTGTGAGGTGGCAGGGATGGGACCCCCGTCCCTGAGGGCTTGGGGAGGTCGCTAAGCACGATGGCCAAGCTCACCCCAGGACAGAGGCAGTGTCTGCCCTGGGCGTGCCAGGCCTGTCGCCTCCTGATGCTCCTGGGGGCCGGGCAGTTCTCTTTTTGTGAGGGGTTCAATGCATGGGGGGGCCTGCAGAGCGCTGAGCCCTCACCTGATGAGTTGGCCCCGCACAAGTAGCTGTTCTTCATCCTCTGTCCAAGGAGCCCCCATCCGGGCTCCTGACCTGCTCCCCTGGGGTCTCTTCTGGGCGGTAGCTGCCCTGTCTTCTGCCCGCCTCTCTTGCCTCCACACCAGTGGGTCCCTCCAGCTTGGATGGCTCCCCTTCCCTCTTCCGTCGGAACACTTGGGAGGATCTCCCAGCCCAGCCCAGGCTACCTGGCCTCCAGACTGGAGGGGTGGGCAGGGTGGGAGGGCACACAGCCCTGCTTCCCAGCCACCTGTCAGCTTTGCTGCCAGTCTGCCCAGGACCTGGGTGGGCCAGGGTGCGTCCGTGTCCTGCCTTGGGGCCTGGCCTTCCTTCCTGGGGGTAGGGTCCTGCTGACCCTCGCCACCCTGACTGCCGGGGCTCAGCCTGCGCCAGGCTGCCGTGTGGGGAGCCCTCACCACAGCGGAGCTGAGTGGGTGGGCCAGGAGAGGCGTGGGCTGCCTCGCCGCCTGCCACCCCATCACAAGCCAGTGGCTCTCTCTCCCCTTGTGTCCTGCTCCAGATGGCAGCTCAGCGGCAGCGGGCACTGGCCATCATGTGCCGGGTCTACGTGGGCTCCATCTACTACGAGCTGGGTGAGGACACCATTCGCCAGGCCTTTGCCCCCTTTGGGCCCATCAAGAGCATTGACATGTCCTGGGACTCTGTTACCATGAAGCACAAGGTGAGGTGAGGTCTGCCCCGCCCCACCCTGCCCCACCCCAGGCTCTCCTGGCCTAACTCGCATCCCTGTGTTCAGGGCTTTGCCTTTGTGGAGTATGAGGTCCCAGAAGCTGCACAGCTGGCCTTGGAGCAGATGAACTCGGTGATGCTGGGAGGCAGGAACATCAAGGTGGGGCCCTGGCCCAGGCGGATGCTGCCAGGTTCTGTCCAGTTCCCCTTCTCCCCACGGGAGCCTGCAGTGACCCAGCTGGGCTGACGGGGGGTTCTCGGTCCCCTGCCTCTTCCCCAGGTGGGCAGGCCCAGCAACATAGGGCAGGCCCAGCCCATCATCGACCAGCTGGCTGAGGAGGCACGAGCCTTCAACCGCATATACGTGGCCTCCGTGCACCAGGACCTCTCTGATGACGACATCAAGAGTGTGTTCGAGGCCTTCGGCAAGATCAAGTCTTGCACCCTGGCCCGGGACCCCACGACTGGCAAGCACAAGGGCTACGGCTTCATTGGTGAGCTAGGGCGGGCCGAGGCGGGCAGGCCGGGCCTGCCCGGCACTGTGGCCCTCACCGCTACCCCTGCCCTGCAGAGTATGAGAAGGCCCAGTCGTCTCAGGATGCCGTGTCTTCCATGAACCTCTTTGACCTGGGTGGCCAGTATTTGCGGGTGGGCAAGGCTGTCACACCCCCCATGCCCCTGCTTACACCTGCCACACCTGGAGGCCTCCCACCGGCTGCTGCTGTGGCCGCAGCTGCAGCCACAGCCAAGATTACGGCTCAGGTGAGGGCTGGTGCAGTTGTGTGGGTTTGATCCTGGGCAACCGGCCCCCAGTGCTTTGGGGATGGACTGGCTCTCCGGGTGGTATTGAGTGGAGGCAGCCAGACTGAGGACTGAGATGGGTGTCCTTTTGGGTTGCAGGAAGCAGTGGCCGGAGCAGCGGTTCTGGGTACCCTTGCCACACCTGGACTGGTGTCCCCTGCACTGACTCTGGCCCAACCCCTGGGGGCTTTGCCTCAGGCTGTCATGGCTGCCCAGGCGCCGGGAGTCATCACAGGTGAGCCTGAGTGGGTGAAGGATGCCCCTCTTCTCCAGGCTTGCTGCCTCCAGGGCAGCCCAGCCATGGATGCACCGTGTTGTGTTCCTTCCCAGGAAGGATGGGGGCGGAGTGGGGGGTGGGGTGACTGCCCACACCTGCTGGGTTTGCTGCAGGTGTGACCCCGGCCCGGCCTCCCATTCCGGTCACCATCCCCTCCGTGGGAGTGGTGAACCCCATCCTGGCCAGCCCGCCAACGCTGGGTCTCCTGGAGCCCAAGAAGGAAAAGGAAGAGGAGGAGCTGTTTCCCGAGTCCGAGCGGCCGGAGATGCTGAGTGAGCAGGAGCACATGAGCATCTCGGGCAGCAGCGCCCGCCACATGGTGATGCAGAAGCTGCTGCGCAAGCAGGAGGTGGGCACGGGGCGGGCGGGGCCGCCGGGTGGGGCGGGGCCGCGGGGCCGCCAGCCACATTGCTCAGCTGTCTCCCTCCACAGTCCACAGTGATGGTTCTGCGCAACATGGTGGACCCCAAGGATATCGATGACGACCTGGAGGGGGAGGTGACCGAGGAGTGTGGCAAGTTTGGTGCTGTCAACCGCGTCATCATCTACCAGGAGAAGCAGGGCGAGGAGGAGGATGCAGAGATCATCGTCAAGATTTTCGTGGAGTTTTCCATGGCCTCCGAGACTCACAAGGCCATCCAGGCCCTCAATGGGCGCTGGTTCGCCGGCCGCAAAGTTGTGGCTGAAGTGTATGACCAGGAGCGTTTTGATAACAGTGACCTCTCCGCGTGACCGTGGCCTTGGCCCTGATCCCTGGACTTGTACTTGCTCTTGTTTCCTCTGGGTTTTATAGTGATTCAGTGGTGTCGGGCCCAGCCGCCCGCGTACGCATAAAGGTGCAGATGGTGCTGGCCCTGAACGGCCCTGTGTGGCAGTGATCCTGTACTTCGGGGCTCCTTAGCCCAGCCCGGGGGGAGGGGCCCGGGCAAGCCCCTGGTTGGCACAGAGAAGTGCGGAGGGCAATGAAGGCAGTCACTGGCTTCAGTGGGTGTCGGTGTGGTTTCATCCTGTCTGTGGCCTACGGAGGGGGGACAACCTGACGCCTCGTGGAAGGGGGCATTGGAGGGGTGGCAGAGGGAGGCTTTCTCGCTGTGCGGGGTCCACACTGTCCCCTGCACAGGCTGGAGAAGCCTGGCCTAGAGCCCGCTAAGTCCCGGAGCATTGAGTCTGCTAGACAAATGAATCCCCGGCGCGCTAAGCCTATATGTCCCGGTGTGAGGGGCGGCGGGCTGGACCGCGTGGTCGCGGGGGTCAACGTCGGAAAGGGGCCGGGCAGGGCGGGAGGAAGCCTCGGGGCCGCGCACAATGGAGACAGCACAACTCGCACCTCGCACGGACTCCAGGTCCCGCCGTTCCTCGCGCCGAGAGCGGGAGCCGAGCTTCCCAGCAGGCTGTGCGCGGAACCGCTACGGGTCCTCAGGGGCTCGGGCGCCGCGCGGCTTTGTGGGCATTGTAGTCCCGGCGGCGAGGGCGGGCCTCGGCTTCCCGGCGGGCTACGCGGCGGCCGGCGGTTGTCGGCGGGGCAGTCGGCGGGCAGCGGCGGCGGTTCCGGCTGCGGCACGGTGGCGGATGAGCAGGCGGCCCGGGGTGAGCGAGCGGGCGTGATGCGGAGCCGCCGCCGCCTCCTGAGAGCCTGAGCGCCGGCCGGGCCGCGCCCCC